AGGGTTTTTCGGGCCACGCTGCCTCTGGTAGGGTTGCCTGCAGGTGCGTGGATGTAACTCTGCCCACAATAGTCGCTGGCTTAGGCGCAGCCACACCACCACCGGGTCGGTAGTGCATCAAGCAGTGATAATTATGGTGGTTGAGTCGCCTGCATTACTCTCAGGCGTGAGGTGCAGGCAAAGCAAGGCATTCTCATGCAGAAGCTAGTTGAAGAGGGACATCGTAAGTGCTGAGGACTCTCGCACATAGCCGAGTCCCCAAACGCAGCCTTGTTTCTTGGCGCGCATCTTCACTGAAGAGGCCTGAAGCAAGAAATCTCGCGCTTTATGGAATGTAGAGCAATGGCAGATCAGGACACCTGCTGAGGCTTTGAGATACTAACGTAATGCACCCCGACAGTAGTCATGCTTCTATACAGTCTTCATGCATCTACTTTTCGTGGCCTATGTTCTTGCTCGTGCTTCGACGTGATTCGAGCTGTACCTTCAAGTCCTTCAGCCTGGGGGATGCTCCAAGTCTGTGAATGCGTGCAAGTCAAGGTTCCAGGAGCGGCCGCAACTTCGGATTGCAGTCGGTGATGATCGAACGGAGCTCTTCTTGCACCTTCATTTGCAAGCATGAGCTGCTTTGGTTAACTATAGGTCCGAGGGTGGGAATTCACAAGACACGAAGTCTTGCGGCCTGTACCTGTGGGCTGCGGAGCTGTTTGCAAAGGTTTTCTAAGGCGCTATGGCCAGCGTACTTGTAAGTTGGAGGGTGGTTCTATACTTTCTGGGACGAAAGAGTCAGAAGACACCCCAGCAAGCAGCCAGGTCCATCTCGCTGTTGCCGGTCAGCAGGTGTAAGAGTCCCAGCTATGCTGTGGATGATTCCTGGATGCAGAGAGAGCAGCTTCAACTCGCGTTTGGGACCAAGGTGTTGCAGACCACGTGTGTTTATCCAGCCTAGCCCGAGATTTGCCACGGTTGCCGTTCTGTATCAGGCAAGGGTAACGGATGGGTGGCGTGGCAACTAAACCCTCATTCTCTGGCGTTGCCCGGAGAATCCCAACACGCCGGAGGTTCAACGTTCAGATGTTGGCAACATTGCTGTTCAGGTCAGCTTGAAATGGCTCTCTTGCCAACTGCGTGTAAGCCTTGAAACAGAATGTGGGATCTCGAGGAGTCTACCCCGGGAGCCTTGGGCCTCTGGATCTGTGAGCTGCCAACTGCAGGCGAGGACCGAAAGAGGCCCGGTTCATCTGGCAGCAGCATCTATACGACGTGCCAGCACGCTGTCTCAAGTTGGGCGTTCCTGGATTCCTGGCACAGGAGCCACCAACTTGACCTGCGACCGCCAGTGTGCCTTGCTCGAACTCAGTGGCCATGCGCCTGCTTCGTCACGAGGTTCTTAGACCTTCCTTCTGGTCTGCACATCCGTGCCAGTTCCATGCAATCGCTTTGCCCAAGTAGTGAGTATCCTCTGATGGTGCAGATTCCTTAGCTCGGAAGATTTTCTATTCGGGCGTGCCCCATTACCAAGGCTCCAAAGATGCTACGGATTAAAACCAACATCCCCCGGTGAGCAATTGACGATTCCCTTTGTCGCGGCCGCTCCCCAAATTTGCAACGCAATTAGAATCCAGAAAAGCATGAATCTCGGTAGTAGCATTGAAGCTCGTGTTCTGTTTCATATTGGTGTTAGTATTCAAATCTCATTAAAACCCTAGTACACACATTGGAAAGCTCTTCAAAACTGATAAACGTCTAATTTCGTGCAACTACAATCTAATTAAACCATTCAAACCAGATTTCGCGGCTTTTACGACTTCATGCATTTGCTAGTATTTGGCCTTGTAGCGAAAGGCTTAGGGCCTCTAAAATTCAAGTAAATTTGATAACCGAAATCCTTTGTCATTTAAGGCCTTATGGCCTTATATCTGAATTTAAATGAAGTTAATGACAATCCTTTACTATTTGAAGCTTTGGGCCTTTTAAAATTAGATAAACGTGCAAGAAATCCTTTATTCTTTGCGGCCTTGGGCCTTCAACATCTAACTAAGTTTAATTAGAATTTCACGGATTCAAAGCTCTGCTAGTATCAGGCTTTCACGAACTCATAGCTTTGCTATTGTCTGGCTTTATAGTAGCTCAAAGCTGCGGGCCTTTCTAATTTATTTAAATCCTTTTAGATTTTTTGGAAATTCTGGGCGGCTGGCGGAGTGAATTATTATTCCGAACCCCCAAAGCATTTCCTTATTGAGAGTCCGGGGCTTTGCTGGACTACCCCCAACAGAAATTGGCGGACCTTATGATTTGTAACACTCCCAAAAAAGGGGTTTATATGGAGCTGGTTTCTCTGAGNNACGGGCTTGACGGAATTCACGGATTCATAGCTCTGCTAGTATCTGGCTTTCACGTATTTGGCTTTATAGCTGAAAGCTCTGGGCCTTTTGAATTTATGCAAATCCAGTTAACATTTCCGGAAATTCTGGGTGGCTGGCGGAGTGAATTATATTCCGAACCCCAAAACATGCCCTTGTTTTAAGGATCCGGGGCTCTGCTGGACTACCCGCTATAGAAATTGACGGACCCTATGATTTCTAATAATCGCGAAAAAGCACTTTTCATGGATCTGGTTGCTCTGAGTTTACGGATTTTCGGATTTTCTAAGATCAGGCCTGATAGGTAAAGGCTCTGGTGCTTCAGCTCTGGAAGTAAAGTCCTTTAAGGGCTCAAAGGCAAACCTGACTCAGGTAAGAAATTTTGATATTTCTGTATCTGAGCCGCAGAAAATTTTACTATTCCAAACCCACCCACCAAAACAATTGCAGATTCTGAATAAGTTCCCGAAAAAAATAGTATTGCGAACCCCCTCTGCAAAAGCGGGTGCGACATCAATTACCACTCAAAAAGATAATGGCCCCCTGAGCGGCGATTCCCAAAGTTAGCTTCTTTGGGGGTTTAGGCTGGGGGGCATGCCATTGTTGATATGCAAGGCATGTTTCCGCATCAGCGCCGGGATGCAAGGAGCATGGGACCATGGGTTGGCATATCACGCTTACACGCACCGGTAAAGAGCATTCAGCAAGAGCATTCAGCGACGCAAACTGCCCACACTCGACACTCGTCAGTCAGTCAAACCGACCAGGAGCATCTGATCTCTGTCGCGCTGCCGCGAGGCTGGTGTGGGGCTTTCTGGGTGGTCCTGCTATCAAGTTCTGCTGCAACTCAGACCATGTCACAACTTGTTCGGGCCTTGTGTGAATGGAGGTCTCTACACGCTTATCCCCTTCAGCTCTCACGTTGTCCTTGATCAGCAGCATGCCTGCACTTGGTGGTCATATACCTAGATTAAGCATAACGAACTGTCATCGTTGCTGCGGCTGATCATCATGTCATGTGTATGCTTTGTACTCTCTGTTTCCTTACCTGGCTTTGAGTTTGGTGGTGCAGCGTGGTTGATGCCAGCCTAAATCGGTGCTGGTAAGGATATCCATCTTTCGAGGCTTAGGCAGCGGGGAACCTAGCATAACCCGAGGCAAGGTGTGCAGCGAGCCAAATTCGGGTGCCGCAGCCAGTGCTGCGGCTGCGTGGACTCCAACCTGATGCAGGAGTCCCTCTGGGAGCTAGGCCCGCTGAAGGGGCTCATGCTTAGGCTCATTTCTGCTGCTGCCGCCGCCAATTTCAAGACTGATAACCTCCAATACGGTGTAAGGCGTCCCGTTGAAAGGCGTATCAAAGTGGCAGCTATATGGTGTGTGGGGTTGCCAAAATATGAACTGCCGGATTCAGCGTGAATTCAGACTCACACGTTCTACTGCCCGATCTTTACATTGGGTCGCAGGTTCCGCATTTCAACACATGCTTGGCATGAGTGTGCGTCTAGCATCGCGAACCCCCTAGCGGACAGTCGTAGCTTTGGTCCCCTTGCGTTCGCGTTGATGCAGAGGCAGCCGCTTTGCTTGCATTTCAGCTTGGGCTGAAGCCACTGACTTGGCGATTTACGAGGCCTGCCGCGTGCCTCGTAGTTGCTTCTTGATCCGAGTCTCATGGCTACCACAAGAGTAAGGCTTCTCGTGATGGCGCTGACATGAAACACACACAGAGGTAGTGCTTGCAGGGTCTTAGAGTGAGGCAGATCCGTGGTATCAGCGGCTTCGCATCGAGTGGGACCTTCTCATGCAGCTTGGATCCATGCACAAAGTCTCGGGCAGAGGCAGGTGCGCTCCCCGAATGCAAGGGACGACCACACCTGACTCCGTGTCCCAAGGCTCATATGCCTGAACCGGAAAGGCTCCATCTTCCTACTTCTGAGACTCTAAGTCACTCACACCCCAAAAGTAGCTGCCATGACCTTCTGTGACATCAATGGCTTGCATCTGAATGCCAGACCAGGCAATCACTCCCCATATGGCTGTGCAGCGAGGCAGACGGCTCTATGGAGGCGAGTTGTGTGGCAAACTTTGCCAAACGAAGCCCTGGGCTACGGTGTGAGATACGCGTAGGTCCATACAAAGTTCGCGCAAAGCGGTGATCATCTCTTTAATAAATGACAACGAGATGGGAGGGTTTGGCCATTTCGTCCTTGAAACGGCAGTCTGAAAGGTTCTGCTACGTTTCCGGCATCAGCCCCTGCAGCAGCATGCACACTGCAGCCCCATCCCCAGGTGCTGATATGTGTGACCGGACCCGAGGAGGATCAGCCGCCTGGCTCCAACTTTGCAACTTGCGGGCACTCTGTGGTTTTCTTGCTTGGGAGATCTAGGCTCCTCTGAAGTAGCAATACCTACACCGCATAACGGCCACTCTACCGTGCCTACACCGAACCCCCGCGCAGCCCAGGGCTTCGCTGCTGGGTGCTGAACCTTCGGTCGATCTTTGGCCTCCCATCCCACATCGGAGAGTGCGGAATGAGCGGACAGGTCAACCGGCTCAGAAGCCAAAGATGGTAAGATTTTGTGAAGCTTGATTCACATGCGAGCTTGACGTGGCACGTGTCCTCCTGAAGAGCAAAGGAGATGTTCCGGCGCACTTGCGTGCTGGAGCATAGATTCTGTTCTGCAGGTGCGGTTCGTCTCCACATCCCTGTTCTAACGCCTGGCCAAGCACTGCGGGTGAGTTGCCTGTGGCAGGAAGCGAGCCTCATGGATACTGTTAGTCACAGTCTGCATGTAACAGACTTCAGAAGTTGATGTTTCAGCTTTCTTTTGAATGAGACTGTATAATCATCTGCGGTGCGCTGGAACCACTAAGTCAGCAGCTGTGAAAGAATGATCCAGCCGACGTGCTTCCAAAAGCTAGCAGGCTTTGAATCTGCATGCAAAAGCCGTGGGTGCTGCGTGTGAGGAGCCAATCGATCCTTCACGTTTTTCGGGACGATCAGCCCCGCAACTCCTGGTGGAGAACTGAGGTTCTGAGAAGGTGGGTACAAGGAGAGCACAAGATCTCATTTCCCAGAAGAGCATTCGACTCCCTTTTCAATTTGCTTAAGACATGTTCTGATGGATTCTGTTGGGATGAGGTCTATTCTTCTGGTCCTTTGGCTGCCTCGCTTCCGACTCCGCCATTCCGATGCAGCCAGCATGCCACAAATTCACCTTTGGTGTAAAGTGCAAGATCTTTGCCTGGAGAGTGCCTGTGCACCACGAGGCCAAGCCCAACAAGCTCAACGCTGGGTTTGTGCAGTCCTCCACGCCTCTCTGCCATGAAGAGGGCTGATGGCAAAGCTTGTGAGACCTACGGGAGAATGAGACAGGGAGAGTAAGCATTGCCTAGCCGGGGGGGAGTGTTCAACTGCACACAACCGCATCTTGCACATGGGGCGGCCGCCGGCAATGGTCCATACATAACCTGCAAGCTGCTCAGCAGTTGAACTGTCGCTACATTTTCTTGGCGGCATGTCCTCAGCTAGCGTCAGATACCTTCAAGTTTCCAGAGCCTTTGTAGATGAACACGGCACTTCGCACCGATGAACTTCCTTGCCTCTGTTTGCAAAGAGGCACAGATCAAGATGCCAGAATTCACTGAAAGGAGAAATCCAGAGCTTTTGGGAAGCATCCGCGCTCTTTGCGGGGCTGTGGACTCAAGGCGCCGGCGGCTGCTCAGAGTTTAGCACTACAGTGATCAAAGTTCTGTTGCGCCGTTCGAAGATGACATTGGTAGCTGCCCCTGTGCTACGATGAGTGTCCCACGTTCGCAGTTAGTGCGATGTGTTGTTGCTATATAAACTGTTATCTCACAGAAAAACTGATCAATACTTTGCACTTGTGCAGCTGCGCCGCTCGCCATTGGCAGGATTTTCAAGCGGATTTGGCAGCCTGCGAAATCCACAGGTGTCTTCTCTGAAAGGGGCTAGAGCAGGTGGGGAATTCTATGTGTTAGTGTGTGCAACGCATTTGGAGCTAAGGTTGTCCTAGAGGTGATGAGAAGCCCTGGACGTGGTGAGGAGCTGCAGCTGGATCTTTATCTCTGCTGCCTGGGCTGATTTAGGCTTGAACCTGGTGCTCTCGCCACACAACCTAGAATCGCACCCTGAAGCAGTCAAGGGGAGTCTCAGCGTCTGTGTCCCACTACAAGGCTGTGTCGCAGTTGGTGGCCAGTGGCTAGCTTCCATGGCTTGTTACTACTTGAGTGGCCTTACAACATGCAGCGCTCTGACTCCCATCTGTGTGACGCAAGCCGCAAAACACGTTTTGAGAATCTGTTGACTCACGCCCAAGCTGATTCCTGTTGTATCTGTCGCTTTGCCTGTGACCCAAAGGCATTTTTTCTTTAATGACCACTTATTTGGGCTCTAGTTGCAAGTCTGCCCAAAGTCTGTAGCAAATATCCTGCGGTGATTGCGTATTCTGCTTGCGATAAAAGAATCTCATGAGTTGCTGTTCTGAAGGCCTTTGTTGGACTTTAGAATCTCCCAATGTAGAAGGTATGCACAGCCCCTTTCAGGCTTGCCTAGGAGCAGCCCTTGTGCTGAGGCATTCCAGCAGTTGCTCTTCCAAAGAAGGCCAAGGCACGGGCTGAGGGTGGGGGCGAAACGTGTACAAGCGTGCACAGTGTTCTTGAATTTCCACGATGCCAGCCAAGCCGTTTGAGTGCAGATGAGTGCAGGACGCACAGCGGCCCAAAGTGGCCATCACCGTCTTCGTTCGTCAGGCCCCTCTATGTGCTCTCTGACAGGTCCACAGAGAAGGCTTTTGCAACAGCAGACAGGGGTGACGTCGTAGCGAGCACCTAAGTCATTGCAAGAAGCAAGTGCATCGCTTGATGCCTAGGAGGAGTCCAGCCGCAAGGACAAGGGGGCTCCGGAGCGTCTTGCGGAGGGTGTGCCTCGGCCGTCCTTGTTTGAATCACCCGAGATCGTCCCATGTACGTAGGACTTGGCTGATTGGGTTTGAAGTTTAAAATTGTTATTCACACAAAGGCTCCCTGGAACACTGCATATGGTGTTCCGGGGCTTGCGGCCATAGCCATAAATCAAAGGCTGATTCTGGGGTATGAAATCTATCAGCACCCATGATGACACCGCGGACTAAACAGCGCCCGTGCAATGCATCCTCCGGTACTTCTTAGGTGCTACGCAAGGAGCTGAAAAGTGAGAAGGCGACTGTCGGTGCATATGTCCGGATCTCAGATTCGGCTTGCAGGCGCAGTGGTGCGCAAGCCATTGGGCTTTGGAGCCAAGATGTGCGTGGCCATTATTGTCGTTTTGAGGCATCGCAAGGGGTTGCATGATGCGCAATACAAGCCTAATACTAGCCTCGTCTTCAATGTCCCAAATTTCAATGTTGGTGTCTGCTACATGCGCCGTGACCTCCAGAAGGAAGTGCTTCCTCCTGAGCGGCCTAGACCTAGACCCTTTTTTTTGACTGGCAGGTTGCCAAATCAAACACCAGCCCCAAGGCAGTCGCTTCCTTGGCTCTTTGTGGCGCGGAGTCCCGCCAACAACTCTTCGTGGTTCTACAAAACAACGATCCGCAGGAGCGCGGGGGTTTGAGTGGCTTCCTGTTGCTGGGCCCACCTCATTGTGCTCAAAGCTGGAAGAAGGTGGCCAGAATAAGGGCAAGATTAGGCAAAGGCTTTGTGCAGACTGGAGGATGCAACGCTCAACAGAAGCCCGGTGAGCCAGTCTTCAGCACACATTTTGCAAAGGCTGCCGTGATAAGCTCATGCATCGCGATCAGGAGTCCTGGCCCTGGCAGCTGCGGGTGCTTGCGAGGTCGCTGGCACCATTGCAGATGCAGAAGCGCTTAGAAGTTCCGCCTGCTCGGCATACTCAACCTGAGCTGTCATAGAAGATAAGTCGCCAAGTAGGAAGTGCAGCGCTAAATCGCTACGCAACCCCCCAGCATCGAACAAAGACTACATCAAGCGATGCTAAATCTGCTAAACGTCTGGTGTTTAGCGCTTCGAAGCGTATACCTGTTCGACAGCAACAATGCAATGGCCGCAAAGTCAGCAAGCCAAAGCCATAACCCAATCTATGTCCAGTGGCGTTGTCGGTAAAAGCTGAACCAACGAATTGGGTTCCATTCGGGTACATGCTGCTGCCTGCCTCCTTCCCGTGCCTTTAAGAAAAAGACTGCTGCATCGCAAAATGCTGCATTGAATGCCACGTTGGTCACAGGATCCGCCGGAAAGAGGGCGAAACACCGATGGGCGAGGCAGCGAACGTTCAGTCCAACAATCACGGCTTTGAATTGCAAAAAGGCATCAGTGATCTGTCATTGCCCGCACCACAATGCGCAAGCCCATCTTCAGCAGCAGTCAATCACCCAGCCACCGTTGGTGTGGCTTGGTAGCCATGTCCTAATTAAGCCTGAGGTGAAAGAGTAAGGTTGCAGCTCTCATTGCCCACAGCCTTGAAGCTGTCATGGGTTGGCACGACCTGCTTCAATTCAAGCTGACTGCTGCCGAAGGCAACAATCCCGCCTGCACCGGAGACGCCCGACGTACCGCCGCTGCGCGCCGCTGTGCTTGGAGGCCTCAACCACAAAGTTGATCAGTTCAAAAGTCTGGGCCGGCAACAGGAAGGTGGTAGGAGACATGAGGCTCCAGCCGCCAGATGTTCGGGGACGGGTGTCGGTTTTGGGGTAGCCCTTTTGAATCTTACTCTTCAGATTGTGGTGGGTGTCGTGCAGCTCGGTCATCGAGTCCCCTGAGTTCTTCGACCCTACGTTTCTACAGCAGGACATGAGCCACCGCTGCAGACTTTAATGTGGTAGGCCCTGTGCCGCTAATGAAACATAATGAAACTGTCCTGCCATTAAACCACCCAATGGCGCAATCGTCAAGAATCAGAACAAACCGTGCCAGGTTTTGCAGAGCCAGGACGCCTGCGCCTCAGACCAGCCTCAAATGCTACGTGATGGGGCAGCGCTTGCCCAGATGAAAGAGACCGGAACTCCTGCCGGCAGGAAAACCTTAGCAGCTTTTGGCGGGGCTCAACCCAAATTTGTTTTCGTGCTCTTGCGTACATCGTTGTTCCGACTCCCCTTTGCTTGCTGCCTGGGACATGAAGTTCATCGATCTAGCCCTGTGCTGAGGTATATACACCTGCTGGCCTGAGGCGCTTTTCCCGAAAGTTTGATACGTATAGCGCCAATCTTTGGAGACAACGCTTGCCAGAGCTATCAGCTATCAGCCAGAGTTGCATTCAGACTCAGGGCATTTGCCACAGCCTTCTCAGTTTCCTTATCATACTTTGTCTTCGTCTTCAATGCTGTCCATCGCGCTTGTCCTTCACAGGCCACAGCCTTGCTGGTATAGTTTCTCTGCGAAAGTTGAGCCAAGCTCTTTGCATATTGCCAGGGGCATCGTTGCTGTAATTATGTTGCAAGTTTGATTTGCAAAGCAGGCTGTGGCACTCTACGTGCCCAAGCGCATGAGATCTACCGCAGCTGCAGCAGCGGTGGTGTCGACTCCTGAGGGTGACGATTCTTCAGGAACTTCATGCCCTGGGCTTGCCTTTCCTCAACCAGCTTCTCACCTGGCAGGACATGCGGCAATCCCTCGACCTTTATCTACAGGCCTAACCTTACAGCAAGAAGTCTGTCGCAGGACATCCTTCGCCCGAGCCCTCCCATTCCTGGATGTTGGCTCGGGACACTTGGGCATCGGAGGAAGCTCCCAAGGCTTGCATTCTTGCAAATGTTCCAGAGTCCATGCTGCAGAGGTGGGCAAAAAAGACATGTTCATACCTGAAAACCTCCGGTCCGCATTGTTGGAGGTGCTGACGAGCTGTGGCACTGTTGCCTCTGAGCCTTTGTGAGAAGTTGGAATACCTCTGGAATAGAGATGAGTAAAGTATGCGCCTGTCCTTTGGCGCTTTTGGGATGCAGGCAAAAACTTGCAGGCTGTCACGCAATCCAAGGAGCGACGCTTTACGGAGCCCGACCACTGGCCGGTGCGAGATGCGGCTGCTGTCCCGGAGGTGCTTGTGTTCTAAGCGGCTGATGGTAGCTAGAAATATGAAACCCTAATAGTCGACCAAGTCACTGCAAGGTGGACGAAGAAGCCTTCCCAGATGTGACGGCGACCTTGGCTTCACCTGCGCGCGTAGCCATCGTCTCCCGGCAAAAATAGTGAAACCGCTTATCAGTACAACATCTGCTTGGACCGGGTGGTGGTAGCAAACCTCACGTCGTACTGCCTGCAAAGCCACGTCTTCTATTCATCAGGTGACAGATGAGGGGCCAGTTCGATCTCAGGCGCACGTGACTGTGTCAATACGGGCTGCTTGAACTTGAAGAACAGCCTGTGCCATGTCCCGAACAGGCGTTGCCCGAGCCCCGCCAGGCAAAGCCAGAGGCAGAAGCAAGAAGGAGTGAGACCTTGCGTGAATAAGGCAACTGCTTAATCGTGCCGCGTCGCGACAAATCATGTGCTGCGCAGCAGATCATGCCCCACTTCGAGGAAGATGGATGCATGAGATCAGAAAACGTTTGGGTTTAGGATGGGCAGCTTAAGTTGAACCGAGTGACGGGCATCTCACGGTATAGTCTGTACATAGTGCAGCAGTACAGGAGCTAACTTCCTGTTGTTGACCTTTCATTGCTTCATGGCAGGAGGCCTCCGATTCCCCAGCCGCCAAAGCGTTGCCTGTCATTAATGCCTTGCTTGCAGTACCTCATGTGCTGATTGGTGTTAATGGGCAAAACACGGCAAAACGTATTCTTCCTGCAGAGATCGTGCACCAAACGCCAAGGATTGTATGTGCGCGGCCAGAAGGACAAGGAGCGTTTGGCATCTCACTCACCACTTCAATTTGTGGCTTCTTGCCAGCTCCCACCTTTGCACAATTCAGTGAACGAATTACCACAAATGGAGAGTTCCAAAAAAGGGGATGCCGCCTACGCTTTCTGAAGTAACTACTACCTTCTCCAGCGTAGGGACCCTGCAGGAAGAACAAAGAATTTTTAGATTCCCCAAAGAAAGGCATGCATGAGAGAGGTCCCGAATTCACCTCGTTTGCTGTGGACTCCTCGCAAACCACAACCTCTCGCGAGGAAGAGACAGAGACAAATGCTCCAGAGCCCGAGGTGGACTCAGGGTTCGTACATCTTGCAGATGACTGCGTAGTAACTCGCAATAGCGGCCTTGCGTCCTGTAAAGGCCTGTAAACCTGCTGTTGGGTACGTTTGGGTTTTGCCTGCAGGATGGGCCGGCTGAGCCCCACGCGTCCTTCGGAAGGCTTGTTTATCCTGAAACTCTTCGGCGACTTGTAGATGTCTTTTGCTGCACGCCAGGCCAGGGCCAGACATCTCCATGCCAGCCTCACAGAGCGAACGCCACGCCCGAATTGAGGCGTCTGTATCAACCGAACAGAAATCACGCTTGCAAAGCAACACAAAACAGTGACAAAAGGTTTGCAGATTCAGCCACAATTCATGTTTTGCAGTCTCCTACAGGCTTTGATGCGTCGCCGGCGATATGGTCGTCACGTGGTTGGAAGATGTTGAAACTGGCTGTCTTTTGGGTCATGAACTGGTGGTAATAATTGAAGGTAGGGGTGGTAGGTGAAAAGCTCCAACCCTGTCGAACTGCTCTTCTTCCTACTGCCTTGCCAGAGATTCGAGGCATGAGGCATGCTGTACTTAGTAGCTAAGGAGAGCGCATTATGGAAGATCCGCAGTTTTATCGCGAAGGGCCCAGGCAGCAAACGAGTCTGAGCTCAAAGTGGGATTCGTGATGCTTGGTGTCAATGCTCGAAGCAATGAAAAATGAGGCCTCACACATTGTCGAAGCTTTGCACACATGGCGGAGGGTAAGGTGCTTCAACACAAGTCAACCCCCAGCCCACATGTCCTAGTTCAGGTATCTGAACTTTGAACCTCTGTGTTTCTCCTGAGTTCTTCATATGAGCGACCGCCTTTATTATCGTGTGGGAGCCAAAGTCAGGCAGAGATAAGAATATTCAGACATGAACAAAACCCTGGTAAAATGATCCCCCCCTGCCCCCCCGCAAACGTGGTACCCCGGAGTGGGCAACTTACAAGGATCCTATCCAAAACCGAAGATGTGGGGCATCCAGGCGAGGGATCGGGCAAAACACTGTAAAACGATAGGTATGAACACCGCAGGGTGCCAAAATCCTGTAAAACGATAGGCCGGTAGGCACCCCCCCTAAAAAAAGCGATACTCTTAATTGTTTACTTCGCCATTTATGCGTAACCTGCCCAGCTGTTCATATCATGTTGCAAACTCATCCGAGAAACAGCCTTCCACCACCGCGGGTGCGACGACCACGGATGGCGTGCCGAGATGCTTCTTGACTCGACCGTCTCTGTTTTGGAGCAGGACTTTCCAGTCCCAATATTGAGCTGAGGATGTGGAAGAGAAGCCGGAGTGGCTCGGATCATGTTTGCAGGCCCAGGTGGCGTATGAAAAGCAACGCATCTAGGTGCCGCTGCGTGAACACGTGGGGCGGTGACAATAAGATCAATAAGCAGGAATGGGCAATCTATGCCCGAAATGCTAAGCTCATTGTTTTGGCGCATGAAGACGGCGCGCTGAAATTGGAAGCAGCCTGTGCTGAAGTCTGTATCGAGCACCCGAATAAGACCCGGCGACTCAGCCGCCATTTGATTTGAGTCCACGATGTCGTGAGATGAGTTGCTTAGGCAAAATTCCGCTCCGCCGCTCAGTGCTCGTGGCGAGCGCAGCCCTTCATTGCCACCAATCTCTGGAGAAACCAGATCTGGCAAGGAGCCTGCTGTCATGTTTCGGGTTGCCGTGGTCAGCTGTGTGGCGCGGAGGAGGGCAGCCGCTGCTGCAGCTTCACAGGGCATCCGATTTTCTGCTGCAAGGCATCGTGCCGCGAGTGCGGGCTGGAGTTTTGAGGTTCACGTTTGAGGGTATGCTCTGCACCCCTCCAGCTCTGGCGATTGAGAGGCGCAGCTCGCGTGACAGCACACGCACACACACATTCGGACAAAACCTGGCCAAAGCTGAGCATGCTTCCACCAGGACTGTATTAGACAACGAGCATGGCGTACCCAACTGTGCATAAGAAACTGCATATTTGGGGGTGTTCCTCGGTCGGATGTTTTCCATGGTGTCGAGTATATGAGCCTATGAGCAGGAACCTCAGGCCCGGACCTAGGATCGCGCCCGCTTTTCTTGTGCGTGGCCATGTCCTTTCACAACTACATACGTAAGGGGCCGCCCTCCTGACAAGATGCATCAAGATGCATTATTGCCACCTTCCCCTCCCCTTCCCCCGACTTCGACCTCCCCACCACCTATAGATTTTAAGGTTCGCGTGTAGTTTCATCTTGGAGGGGCTGCGGGATTTGGATTGTAGATCGGTGTCTTGTCGATTTTGGGTTTTTGGACCCTGAGGGTAGGGTAAGTTTTGCAAATCTGGGTCAGGGTTTGGTTCATTTTCAGGTTAGGGTGGCGGGTGTTGGTTTAAGAGCTTAGTTTGGCACAAAGGCTTCAGGGCTTAGATTTTGATTTTACCTTAAGGGAAGTGGGGTTATTGATTTCGAGGTTGGGGATTAAGATAAGGTTGTCAGGGTAGTTAGGGTGTAGTATCCGGGGTGCAGGGTGTAGGATTTAGATTTCAGGGTGAGTGGTTTGGCTTGAGCAGAGTGTGATGCTTGCATTCCAGCTTACAATTGCCAGTGCAAAGACCAGTTCTTGCTACTGCATTTACTGTTTAGTCTTGCAGACAGGCTGTGCCACCGACCTCCGCCCATTGTGCATTCCCTCCCCCTCAAGGGGTACCTTGAGGAGTAACGGGGCATCCACGCTGATTCGGCAGGGCCTTCATGCTCGCAGTAGGCTTAGTAGACTGTCGGACGTGTCTTCTTGCACTCCACCAGCGCCATTGTTGCAACCATTGCCAATTGCATTTGTTGTGTGAAAAGGCAGAGCCCCGGCGAAGCCCTGGAAGCCAGGCAACTGGAGATGCAAAGTGCGGTTAGCTCCTGGTTGAACTTTTCAACCTTGGGCATTGCCTCTTTTGATGAAGCAGGACAGCGAGATACCGCGAACATCGGGGACTTTGTTTAATCTACGTGAGGGACTTGCTGTCTGCATAGTCAACATCACTGGCCCTGCAGTTGTAGTCACAGGCCCGACTTGCAAGATGTCCATAACATCACACCTGGACCTTTGGGTGAGCTTGACATCTGCATACGGAGAAAGCTTTGTTTGCACGTTGAGGGCTTCTGGGTTTAGGGCAAATATCGCAATACCGCTTCACACTCATAACACGACTGTCATGCCTGCAGCAGCAAAGTATGCAAGAGCTGTGGGATTTGCGAGAGATCTTATGCGTCCAGCGTTGACGCCAGGCGAGCGCGAGACACCTTGTACGCTTGGAGCGGCAGCAAGGCCGTGATCGGCTGGGCTTTGGAAGCTTGGACAATTTAACTGCAGGAAGTCTGCAGATGAAGTATGGCCGCAGACGTCAATGCCGAGGAAATGTGGCATCGGGAACGCCGCAAGCTCCAGCGCCTGGGCTGTTCCAATGATCCATTACACTCGTGAGCATGCTTTCGGTACCGTTTCTTGAATTAAGGGTTCAATGTGTTTTGAAACCAGTTTTCAACATCTTTTCGCCATGATTTTCATTTTTCACAAAGCTTGAGTTAAGAGGTGCTGTTAATAAGCTGGATCCGGGACGGCGCGTTGGCTGACTTCAATTCCGCGGCGCCAGAAGGACAGCTGTGAGACATTCCTTTCCATGTTCCAGGTCGCACAAAGAGTGTTTTTGATTGTCGCCGTGCTGCAGGTTTAGCTGTGCCAGTGAACTCGGCTATTGTGCAGGGCTCAGGAATGTTCTGCCTCAAGTGGCTTGATGACTTTGGTTTTGTTGCTGGCATCCGCCCTTGCATGGGTTAGTGTCTTGTCATCGAGCAGGGCTGCCTCAGCTCCAGCGTTTGGAGGTATCGGTCAACGGGGTCTCCGGCGATGTGCAACGGATGCGAGAGGCGTTGCGATCGCAGGCGCGTAGAAAGAAGAAATGCCACATTAGGCAGCCCTTAGCAGCTGTAGCAGAGTCTACAAGACTAGTCCTAGGTATGCCGCTGAGCATTCTGTTCCGCCCTGCAACACTGCATGAATGGGCAGAGAGCAGGTGGTGGAGATGGAAATCATGGCGCCTGAAAGGTGGCGCTACTCCAAGGCCGGTCCGAGAAAAAGTGGAGCACACATACAGCACTTGCTTTGACAGCTTCGGATTGCGAAGGTGGGTCGGCAGGTGTAGAAAGCGAAGCTGTCTCCATGAACGCGTTGAGGGCACTGTTCTTCATAGCTTGACTAACTAGGGATCTTGCCTTTGCAGCTCAGGTCACGAATTCAGCTTGACTACTGCTGCATACTGCTCGATTGCAGAGTGGAAGCTGCGCAATGGTCGCATGCGCCGCTCGCAGAGAGTTCCGAAATTCCATAGAGGTTGCATCTGAGTCCCATTTTACATGTGGAGACTTGACTTTCTGTAAGCCGTTCTGAACACCGCAAATCACACGGGAATCAGTGCAGCGCAAAAGCTGCACTGCACTTGCTGCGAACACCGCCGCTGTGCACGCCTCTGCCTCTGACTTCAAAGAGCTACGACTGATCGTTGCCTATCCAATGGTATGGGACAGGCTTGATATGATCAACCTTGGAAGCAGTGCTCTCAAGAACGAGGCGGTCGTCTCACCCAAGAGTTAGTAGCTGAGTTCGTTAGGCTGGGCTCAGTTGACAAATGCCTCACCTTCGGTCTACTACTACCTGCTGCTCCAAGCACTTTCTCCCGCCCCAACGAAATCCCAACACAGACTCGCACCAAAACCTGCATTACAAAAAGTTCCTACTCGATGCTGAAGTGCTTCAGGAGCTGGAGAAGAATCCCGAGTTTGCTCCTCCGGGCACAGAGTCGCTTGCTTGGTTCCGGGTTCTGCTACGAGCGGCTTTTATCTGGGGAACGTTCTCTGCGCCAAGGGCTCAGAACATGGAGCTGGTCATCGGCTGGAATGGCACGCAGCAGCAGAAGGATGAATCGCAGGCGGCAACGGGGGCAGAGGAGCTAGCCCTGCGAGCTCGCGTTTTCTGGTTTGATGACCGGAGTGCCAGAGGTGCCCAACTTCCCGCAGATGGCGGGTCTTATCAGCGCGGCAGAGATGATGCTAAAGGCTGGGTGGTTGGCCTAGATCTTGCGAGATCTTCACTAGCAGGCACTGGATGCAATCACTTGCCTTGTTCTGTCAGCCCCTGCTGCTGTTTTGATAATCAGTTCAGTCGTCACCACATGCAGTCTTGCTACACCTCCTAGAGAGTATGCCGCGGCCACCTCTTGGTCAACATAGCTCATAGAGTCACTGAAAATGAGTTCGCTGCGCTGAAGCTTGCGCTGGGAGAGCGACATCATGGTTGAATGTTTTTGATGTTTTTTAGGCTGCCCACTTCGTAAAATACGCAGAACTCGTATTCGCAGAACTACAGCTCATGCTGGTGAACACGCCCTTGGCCTGACCTATGCGCCTTTCGCGCCAAGCAAAGCTGAGCGATGCTCCGCCTCTTTGCCACGTCAGCCGCTGTTTGCGGTGCTGCGTCGGCAGAGGCCGAAGATGAAGCAATAGAGTACCCGTTTTTCCAACAACTCATCAAGACTGCCCTGCCAGCTGGCACGAGGCGGGCTCAAATCCCAAGGATGTGAAGACGCTCCAGGACCAGGATACCAGGTCTTTAAGTAAAGACTCTGCCTGCCCACGCAGAGTCTGCGCCATGCCGTTATGCTGGACAGCTGCACTTCTGCTACACACCAGGAAGTCGAGCAGGCGACTGTGGATGGCACATATCCCCGCACCTTCCCGCATGGCGTGCTCAATGCAGAGTGGAGCAACAATCGCAAGTTCCTCCGGAAGCTGCGCAAGGCCTGGGCAAAGCTTGTTGAGTCTCTTAGCTGCCTTTATGGGCAAACGGAGCCGTGTGGATCGTCTGGGCTTTGAAGTTTTCATGTTTTGCTTTGCATTGAAATGCTGGCAGGCCATTCGTACTGGAAAGCCTTTCGTGATCAAGGACTTCCTGTTTGCCCCTGTCGCAGAGGCAGTGCGAAACATAAGGTTCAGCAACATCGGCACTCAATCGCCCTGTGAGTGAGCCTGGGAGGCACTGCTTCAGCAGCTGCAGCAGCTTAGCCACCCAGACAAGACTGCTAAGGGCGCAAGACATGTGACAGCATGCATGCTGCATGGAATGGCAACGTTTCCGGCAAACCGCGCCAAGCCTCCAACTCAGGCGATCGACAAGATGACGATGACGAAACGGGCTATCCTTTCCAAAGACTGACGGAAGGCAAGGCTTGCCAGACGCATAAAGTTGAGTGTCGCCCTTCGCGACTGACACCTGTGCTGTGACAGCTCTGAGCTGCTCGGTCTTGGCTTTCTTTTGCAAGCAGCATGGACATGCAGTTCTAGCTTGAAGCTTTGGCCTGGAGATGCTACTTCTTGCAGATCTTGTGTAAAGGCCCTTTTCGCTCCCAGCCGAAGGGTTGGGCACCTTTGAGGCCGAATCCTTGCACGCAGGTGCCTTGGCCGCTGCTCAGTCCATCTAAGCTGGCAAGAGAGCATCCTAGAGTTTGGGATGTCCTTGAATCTACCATGCTCTCAGCCACGACCCAAGGTGGTCTCTGACTTCCTTGAGACGCGTCAGCATCGCTTCGCCTTCACCGGGCACATCCTAATCGGCCGGAGCCTGCGAAGAATGCTAATTGGGGCAGCCAGGTAAGGAAGGCGCATCGCTTTTACACTCCACCCTGAACCATGTCGCGGAAGCTAGTGAACGCCCCTGTATTCCCGAGGAAGGGGGACAAGCACAACGCTTGGCATTCTGCCTTCCGACAAGCCATGGAGCACCCAGCAGTTGTTCAGTTCTGGCAGGCCGGACCGGTGCCCAAACGAGTTTTCTTTGAGGGATGGAGAAGAGGGGAGGAGTGGGAGGCAGGCGCTGGCTGTGCCATCTACAGCATTTTCTTTTGCCGTCGCTGCCTTGGGAAGGCGCAGCCTTTCAGCATGCTTTTGTTGTGGCTAGGGTCAAAGGGGAGGGTTGTAAAGCGAGCTTTGTTCGCAGCACTGGCCGATCATCTCTGCCTGGACTCTGCACAAATACCCCCTGCAATTCTTGAGGTTGCGTGTGTCAGGCGTCAGATGTTGTCGTGCCTCCTGGTTGTACGTGGCGATGCAGCATCGGTAGAATGCGTACTGCATGACCACCGCGCCCGAATGTGAATTCAAAGGGTCCAAATGTTTCAGGACCTCTCGACGCCTGAGTGCAGTTCAGTAGCGCTTAGGACGGCATTGCTCATGCTAGCAGGGCTTGGGCTTGGGGCTGGCAATGTTTTTGTAGCGTATGGCTGGATGGGCCCGGTGAAGGTGTGGCCTGCCTCCTAGGCCGTCTAAGGACGTTCGCAGAAGGAACATTTCCAAAATTGGGATGCTGCCTACTCCTGTGTCGGCCAGAAGAGTCAGTGCTAGTCAAGCTACTCTAGGGCTGAGGAGCCTTGGGAAAGACAGTCATTGTTTTGCCCTGGACTTACGAACCTTGAGATCAACAAGTGCTTCATGAAGATGCTGCAATGACCTGGACAGGTCAGAGGATTTCAGGCTTATCATCATTATGCTCATTCATAAAAATGATGCCGTTCTACGGAACCGTATCCAAGCCTCCGTCTACGGAATATGTGTTCGCAATCCTTCGAGTCCTTCACCATGCGTGCCGTTCTTTCAATCCTTCGCTCTTCAACCTCTCTGGATACGCTGAAGCATCAATCGAAATGGCAGCGGCAAGCCCTAGACTTGTTCTCTCATCAATCAGTGGCACCCAGGTAAGTGCGACTTGCATCTGCCAAGCTGTGATAAAGAGATTTCCATGTGACAGGGCTTGGCTGGCATGCCCAAATGGGTGACGCGATACGATCCCTCCTGGTCCTGGTTCCGTGTCTGCATCAGGATGCTTAGCAGGCATGAGGCATGTCCAGCTGTTGTTTAGAGAGCCCAACCTACCAGGAAATAACAAAATTGAAAGAGAAGCAGTGAATAATGCGCAGAGTTGGAGGTCTGCTGCATCTACATGGCGGGGCATGCCGGTCCCCTGTAGAAGCCATATCTTACAATCCCTGTGCTGACTGCAGCCGCTGGTGCCCAACCAGCTAGCCAGCTAGCCAAGCCACAAAATGATCTGCATTGGCAGGCTTCGGCCGGGTGACTTCTACGGACTACACGCCGACGATGCGCAGGTCTGTCCGCTACCTTCTGCTGCCAAATTTCCGATTCGCATGTCGTCATGCTTGTGCCACATGTGTTCATGAGATGACAACTTCTTGGCAGCATCAGCCTGGCTACCTGCCTCCTGTAGATCCAGAGTTCCTGCAGATGTCTGCCATCCCTTGGCCATCAGCCAAAACTGCCTGGATCTTGTGTGCTGAAGGCAAGGTACCTTGCCGTGACCATCCATTTGGCCAGCGGCTGGTGTTTTCGTCACGCTTTGACATGCCCTATGTCTTGCCTCTGCAGGTCAAGTGCCCTTTATTTGTTGTGCTTCCCCACCCTTGGAGCATGGCAGGTCCTCAGAACATGGAGGCGAGCTTGTCTGGTGTGGTCCAGAAGGAGATGGTGATGTGACCATTGAGGCTTGTAGAATCTTACCCGCGCCCCGAGTGGGGCTTCCACAGCGAGAATCGTTGCCCGCAGCTTGACACCTGGAACTGTTTGAATGATGCGTGCTGCAGGCCCATGACCGGCCTCATTTCCACAAGAGCTTCAATGTCTCAAAGGGAGGCAGCGCGCTGCTGCCAAGCTTCAACGTGGCGGTGGTTTTCCCGGTGTTTCAGCGCCTCGAGCTTGAAACTAATGTGAGCTTTGGCTTCCGCAACTTCCCATGGTGCTTGCATCTCAAGTTGGCAGCAGTGATGAACAGGAACAGCTACCATGCTGTGGCGCCAGTCCATGCTGGCGATGGCAAAGGCGCGTCTCCATTCTCCGAACTTGGTTGGTGATGTCGCCGTGTCAGCTGTCTTACATCGTCAGGCCATTGACAAGGAAGTTTCAATGTTAATAGTCATGAGGTAACTGTTGTCCGACTGCTGCAGGGCGACGGTTCACGCTTCAAGGCTGGTATGTAGATCCATGCCAGCTGCAAGAAGCCGCTCGGCTTTCCTGAAGCAATAAATTCATTTCTTGTGATTTTTCTTGCTGGACCAATCAAGCCACATTGATTGCTGGATGATTATCATACATTTGTTTTATTCTTGATATAATATCCATGGTTAATGGAATTCCATTCGGTTTTTCATAGCAAGAAAAAACAAAACGAATCAATCGTTTTTTTGGTGTGAAGAACAGGCGTGATTATTGCTTGTTGGGAACACATGCGGTGTGCTGCAAGCAAAGCATTACCCGTGTATTTTTATACGAATTTACAATCCTTGTGTTTCATACACATGAATATGTTTAATCGAAACATATGATTACCAAAATTGGGCAAAAAGAAAATTGCAAAAGTGCAGCTCTTGTCAAAAAAACAAATGCTCGCATTTTGTCAGAGAATGGATGAAAGTCTGTGTTTAAAACAAAACAACTCCTTATTTAACAACAAAATGATTGAACATTTTTCCTATGAATTCATTGATCTTTTGTTACCAGCGGCTTTCACGAAAAAAAAATATAAAAAAGGATGGTCTTTTTTTTGAAAAGAGGCCGTCTTTGTTTGTTCCCTATTCATTCGGTTTTTTTCATAGCAGCTTGTTGGAGAAAGCAAAAAAAATGGTCTATGTAAAAAAGAAGAATGGTCATTTTTCACAAAAACAAAAAAACTTTTTGCTATTTATTACGAAATTCATTCGCTATCATCCAAATCCCAAATGAAAGAGAAAGGTGATTTCAGTCGCCTGATTTTTTTCGCTTATTACCACAAATACTGGAACATAAAGACCCAATATCAAACTTCTTGCAGCAAGCAAAAAATATTTTAGCTTCAGTCATGAAAGGCGTGATAACAAAAAAATCACACAATTCATTAAATCAACATTTGACAATTTGTATTTTCAATGAATAAAATTCATCATATGTAATTTATAAAAAAATCAAATCAACATCAATCGCCTTTTTTCATGTCCGACAGAATCAAATTGGATAAAAAAATCCCTGAAACTGAATGTTTGTTGGTTGATTTTTTAAAAATGTCAAAGTTGGAAAACATCCAATGAACAATCCTTTTTGCATGAATTAGCACCGGGTTTCGACACACAAGTATCTGTCTCACATTTCACAAAAATCATGTCTCTTTTGCAAAAAATGTTCCCAAGTTTCGACACCAAAGCAAGCCTGCACATCATGCCCTTGCGAACTGTTTCTCAATCGTGAGTACTGGCGCGAAGAAGCCGAATGACTGCGGCAACCCGCGGAGGCCCTGAATCCATCACTCCATGCTTTTCTAAGGCCAAAGGCAGCTGCATGCCAGATGCCATGCGTAAGTTCAAGGCGCTGTGCTGCAGTTGTGCAGTTGGAGATGAAACAGCTAAAAAAGGATTACACAGCAGAGCACATAAGATGTCTCGTAAGGTGGACTCGTGCATGTTTGCATTAGTGCTCGAACCTTTTTTGCAGTGACTACCAGTGGCTCCACTATGACGAAATTGCCTTATAAGATCAGTTACGAAAACATCCTAGGGTCTCAATTCGGCCCAGCCTTTGCCACATGCTGATTTGATCTCTGGGCCCTTCAGACCTGGTCTGAGAAGATCGCGGCCAAGTCAACTGAGTGGGCAGGCAAGGGAGCGTGCCTCAGCGGAAACATAGCTAGTGGGCCAATGATCAGCGCAATTAACTTCTCAGTAGCAGATGGGGTGGAAGTGTGTGTTCTGGTCTTTGGTGGATTGTCTTAGTTCTCAGAATCTTGGCTGGTAGACGCGCTTGTGTATAGCTCTGCATCTCCCAGTGCTCAAAGCTGAAGGCCTTCAGACTGTGTACTACCCAGGACAGGACTTCAGCGGACAAAGTCTCATGGCAGCTCTGAGCTGTGAGCCCGAAACCGCAGGGTTTCCACTTCGAGCTTGGAGTGGCTCTTGCGTGTCTGCACGTTGTACAGATTGCGGCTGAGCTTGCCTTCAAGGGCCTGTAGTCGAGCCAGAGACATGTGCCACCACGTCTAGCAGACCTGCCGCCATGTCAGAGCATTGGAAGCCACAAGACAAGAACATGGTTTGCGCTGTTCGTGCTTAGCCTCGTTTGCATAATTGGCCTCAAGACCTTGCAACAGGACTTCGACATTTTGCGATTTTGCACCACCACTGCCTGTTGTGTTTCCGAAGACAAGTAGCGTTTGCTGCTCTAGAACGTGCTTGGTCAAAAGCGGCATGCAGACTGAGCGTGCCATGCTCGGCAAGAATCGGCTAATAAAGCTTTAGACAGCAGCACGGGACAGGCTGCTGTCATCAGCTCTGAGTCAGTTGACATGCTATTCTGAAGTTCGCAGCCGCGCAGGCCCAGAACGAGGCCAAGTGGGCGGCGGAGAGCCCCGGCCACGATTAGCGTGTTTGGCAGTGATATCGCATGATAGAAGTGACATCCTCTTTCTGCCTGTTTCTCAGTACACTTCAAACAGGCCGGGCCCTCCTCCCTCCTCCTTAGCTTGTCCATCTTGTTCTTGTGGTCAGCTTCCGCTAAGGAAGGCATCGAAGCCGAAAGCTGAAGGCCGCATCGTCAGCAATCTGGAAGGGATAGGAGAGGAGCTAAAACCTGAAATGTCCAGCTTGATTCAGCATTTAAACTTGACCTACGAATCTGCAGGGAGCAGTCCAGCTCCGGCATCCGAGCAGGCTCTGGGCACGACTTCTCTTGAGTCGTGTTGTTTCGTTGCACTTGGCATTGTGAGGGCAACCTGTACTCTTTGCAGGCCCCGACCTGTGAATGGGTGGAGGAGACTGGGAGACTGGGCAGGGAAAGGTTGCGCACCGACAACGTCAGTTCATTTTTTGCTGTCTGGTGCTTGATGCCAGGAAAAGACAGACGAGGGTCACACCAAATACCGCAACGAGCGCCACGGTCTAAGTACATGAAGTAGCGTTTTCGCTCTCGGCCGCAGTGACCCATACATGGACGACATTCTTTGGCGGAAGAACCTCCACACATGCATCAGGAACTGGCGAGGTGGTTGACGAACTCCCCGAGGGCATCAAGGTCCTGAGTTTTTTCCCTTTGAAGGCAAACAGGAGCTTGCTGTCAGCACAGGCGGCTGATGTCCAGAAGGCAAAGAAGGAGCCAGTGCCATTCGTTGATGCTAAACGTTATGTCCATGGTGGCGACGTGGGAGCATGTCAGTCAGAGACAGCATTGCGCGATTGTGAGAGAGTGAGCGGCTAGCCGCCTGCAACCTCAGTAGACAACAGCATGCCAAGTGAAGAGTGTCGATGACTTTCTGCGAAGCCAGGATGATGCCAAGGCCTCTTGGTTGCACAGCTTGCTTGTTCAGCATGGGTCTTACGGGTGTATGCTAACAGTACTGGCGCCAGCTTCTCGCGGGCGAGCTGTGACTTGTCTGCATGCCAGCTGACAGGTTTATTGCCGGTCATGCTTGTACCCATGCTGCTTCGACTCTTTGACTGACAATTGCATGTATTCGACGCTCAGAGATTGGAGCAGAGAAAACTTGACCCTCGGCCCCGTCACTTGGTAGGCGCCTTCACCCACCATGCCGCTTGGGGCGCGGCCACCTTGGCAGCAGGTGTGGCAATCTGAACTCTGGCTACTTCATACCCCCACTGGATTGAAAGGAAGGGATGCAGGCACAAGTGCCTGCAACAGCTGCACGGAACGCTGGACTAGCTTGAATTCATGGACATGGAGCCGCCTCTGCGTGTGCTAGGCAAAAGCAGCAGCGAAGGCTTGGGGGCATTTTGGCAGTCTGGCTTGCGTGCTGCAGCTTGCAGGCATTTGCAGGCAACAAGCTTCATGTTGCCACAACTTACTCCATGCTGGAAGCGGCAGAGCTGGTGAAGTGGGACTAAAAGCTTTTTGTAGGTACTTAAGGCTGCGGTCAGGTTTTGTCCTTATATAGTGACTCAGAATCGTGGACAGGAGGTTAGGTTGTCCAGTTGAGGTTCACTCCCTCCACCCACCCACCCACTGCAGCTGCTTCGGCTCCTAACCTCTGAGCCCTTTCGGAAAACTCTGAAAGGCGGCACCTCACACCTGGTAGTGCAATCCATATACCCGGCGGGGCGTGGCAACAAGCGCACGCCCTGCCGGCAGCAAATGGAAGGCGCTCATTCACTTCGGGTCAATACATTGCTCAGAAACAGATTCCACAAGTGCTAGGATGTGTGTAGGTTTCATAGCCATTCATAGCCACAAGAAGTGTCACTGCAGGACAGGCCCCTGGCGACTATGGCTCCATCGAGACTGGCCCTGGAAATGTCTTCGCGCCAGGTGCAGCTTCTTGAGTAACACTAAACACCTGGGCTGCAGAGATGAGGAGGCTCTAAAAGATCGCTGTAGCTGCGAGGCCCTGGCCGGATCATTGAGACCGAGGAAGCCAAGGCTGCTGCGAGAGGGAAGCCGCGACTTGAACGAACTTGGTCATTGTCAAGTCATTGCTAACTGAAACTTTGGAACGGAGTTTCTGCTGAAGATGCCGGATCCGGTATTGGCCCTAGTCATGAAACGAATGCATGCAGATCTTTGCTGTCCGTGCATTGGAAGAGGCCGTCTAACCAACTATTCATATTCGAGCTGTCTGTGTGGCTCCTCCAGGTCTTGGAAGGATCTTTCCCCGCTGCTCCTGCCCTGGATCCTTTTCGGAATCCTGGCCACACTCGACTCAGGGGCAGTTTTGCCCTGGGCGCTTGGCAATAGTTTTCGCACCTACAGGACTTGAAGCATTCAGAAGAAAACTGAACAGCAAGTGCTATTCATCAGTGTTGTTTCAAACACTCTTGCTCGCTTAGCAACAGCTGCCCTGCAAGCGCTAGCAGAACAGTTTTGATCGAGCAGTGTTGAACGCATGACCCGAAGCCATTGCTAGGAATGGTGCTGCTTGCCACAGCGCTAGTCCAGGGCCAGGCAATCTCAATATTGGCCTCGGCTGCCTGCTCCCTGGGCGGAAGAAGCTTTCTCCAGCATCCGCACGTCTTTTTGAACATATCGAAGGTGTCATCCTGCAAAGTGACCAGTAACACATGGATTATGTTCTTCAGGTGCAAGGAAGAGTTGTTGCCAAAATAGCCTTAACTTCGACACCCCGACTCTAGCAGATGGGGTCAAGGCATTGTTCAGCATTGCAAGACCTTTCAAGCTGACGGCTTGCTGCAGGTTTCTTGCTGTCTGTGGGCTTCTTGCTACTCTCGCGGGGGCCGGCTTGGCGCGTCCTCGCTGTTAGCTGCTTCTGCGTCAGCCTTTTTGGAATTGCCCTGGGGCCGCTCTGCCGTTCAATACGAGAGAGCACACATCACAGGCATCGATGCAGCAATGCTTATTGTACATGTGCGTGGATCGTTTTACCTCTCCCTCTTTCTCACCCACTCACTCACTCATTTTCTCTGCCAAGCACACGAGAGGGAGGACTTTGATTCTGGCTTCTGGACTTGTTGACTTAATTCGACTGAGCTTGCACTCCAGGCAGTACGACAAGGTCAAGTACCTGCACCTTGGAATTCTTCAGGCGTGGAATGCTTCTTTCAGCTTGTTGGAGACCGGCTTAGCTGCTTAGCCAAGGCATCCGTACTACTTTTACCAGCGCAGCCCTAGCTACTCCAACGTGGATCCGATGTCAAAGCCAGGCTCAGTAGCAGACGCAGGCCGTGGAGACGTGAGACGGCCGCAGGGCTACTGCAGACGATGTTTTTCTGAGTACGTGAGCGATGCAGTGACGTGGAGAGTCTGTCAGGCTTCGTGAGCTTTGAGTCTGGCGCCTCGGCCTTGCAGTCTCTCCAGCTCGTGGACCTTTTTCATGTCTTCATGATGCCCAATGGCTCGTAGACACTCTAGACTGTAGGGGGGGGTTAGTTTAGGCACGCGCCCACTTAGCCTTTGCAGCCCAAGTTGGTGCAACAGCAGTAGTTGCGGAAGAACTTGCACAGCCCGTGTTCAGTTGGCTACGACACGCTTCTGAGCCAGGATAGGTTTGGCTACTGATTTCTAGTGGCCGCTTCTCGCAGGAATCTTCTCAAGCATGTAGGCTTGATCATTCCAAGGTGCTCACGTGGACACGACGCGAGGCTGGCAACAAGTGCGTTTCCTCTCTAAGTTGCGGAGAGCTTAGGGCTGCAAGGCGGCTGTGCCCACAGTTGCGTTGCCTGTTCGCTCTGTAAAATCGATATCAGCTAGCATGTGCACGTGCAATGCCTGAAGCATAAAAAAAAATACTGCTTGACCCTCATGAGACGCAGTGGAGACGGTCCATGTGCAGCTGCCGTGACTGCAGGGGTTGGCTTCGTTTCGGGCACCTTGTGGTGTGCAGCGCCGGTTGCTGCATGTCTCAATATGACAGGCATAGGGCGTCTGCACATGCAGATGGGCAATTTTAGCTCAGCCTCGCAGCACTTGGTTCGTCGTGGGTCATGAGATGCGGGCTACCGACCATCCATAGAAGCCTTTCTGCTGTGTCCAAACTCCACGGGAAGCCGCAGGAATCTGGGAAAGTGTTGCCCAGGTTATGGATGAGCTGGCAACTTCAGCCGGCTACTGGGCCGTTGGCACTGACTGCTGCAAGCGGGAGGGCAGCTTTCACTGCGGGGATGCACAGAGTCTTGGCTACCCATCCCAGGTTGAGCCATGCAGATGGATGGTGAGGAAGGCAAAAATTGTGATTGTTCGAAATCTTACTTAATGGAGACAAAAGACCAGCCTCTGAATCACGCCGGAGCACGAGAGCCGCATCATCAACACAATCAGGATTCCAATTTCACGAAGAAGCTTCTTGCAAAGGGACAGATACCTGACAGGCACCCGACAAATCTGCAAGAGGAGAGCATCATCGCCAGCATGGGGTGTAGTACTTTACACAGTTACACATCAGCAAAGGCAACTTCAAGGTCGGATAACGATTTGTGAAACTCACCACAAAACCATTATAACACCATAAAAAGCTTCATAGAATCCTTAGAACAATTTCATGCAGCCTTTGGAGCGGCACCCTCAATAACGCGACATCGGCATCACTGTGGGTCCACTTCTCTGCCTAGCATCTCTTTATTGAGCCAGCTGACAGGAAAGTGCTTGCTCGTGATGCTTTTTGGGCGGCCCAGGGGACGCAAAAGCTTCAAGAATTCGTCCGTGTGAAAGGCGAAAGCTTGATTACCGCATCAGAATTAGATTTGAGGCCGTGTTCATGCCGGGGGCCAGGGGAACGGTCGAGGTCTGACGCACCGCCTTTTTTTGGACAGCCGGCATACTCTCTTCCTGCCCTTCCCTGTGCCATTTGAACGCTTGTGCATTGCTTCGACCCGAGTAGTCTAGTGCCCTGCGATAACCAATATTGCGCATGTTCGACCTACGAGCTTGTTGGTTTAAAGCTTGCGGAAGTTTTGAAAATCTTTCATGCCGCCGCATGTGGTCCAGGGCAGATTCCGTGTTTACAGAGCTTTAGTTGCACCGGCGTGGAGGGGCCAGCGCCGACCATCCCTGCCCCGGCATCATCGGACCTACGTTTCTGAAACCAGCCCTTCCAGACCTCATCCATGCATTTTTCCTCCCGCAAATGGATCCTTCAGGACCCCCCCGAAAAAGCATCATGACAGCACAGGCTGTTTTGACAACTGCTGGTAGGCCTGGGCACGTCTTGGGCCCATACGGGAGAGAAAGGCTTAGACTCAAAATCGCAGGTTGCATGCAGGTTGTATGGGGTTTGAGTGATGGTTTTCAGGTCTTACGCGCGTGGTTGTTTCATGATGATTCTATGAGTGTGGTTTTTCCATACTTTCATGTCAATGTGGGCTTTACAACGGCGGTGCTGATGAATCTGTAGGCTATGGGTTTCAGTCACTTAGACGCCGGGTCTTGAAGATGCGCATTTTCGCATGTGAAGTTCCCAACGTTTTGGAGCCCTCTGGCGCGCCCTCCAAAACATCATGAGCACCCCTGCGACCTGAAAACGGCTCACCGGGACCTGGCCCCGGCCAGCACATTTCCGGAGGATTCCAAATTGGAGAAATGGAGCTGCAACGATTCTGATGATGCTGGCCCAGGATGCCGGCATCATCAGCAGCGTTAGAGGTCTGCTTTTGCTTTGTGAGGCATCTAGGCTGTCGGTGTGCTCGGCCAAGCATTATGGGTTCCGGAGGGCTGGATGCTGGCCTCATGGAAGCCATCCGCTTTTTCAATGATGGTTTTGCGAGCGATTTTTGGATGGTTGTTGACGCGACAGTTTTTGTGGGTTTGCGTGTTCATGATGGTTGTATGTCGCGTTTATGCGTGTTTCGTTGGCTTTAATGATGGTTTCATGGTTTAGAGCTTCTGGTGGTGTATGATGACTGCGCGGTGGCATTTTGAGTCCGATCCAAGTAATTGGGCTTAAGCATGATTGTGCCTAAGCCAATCCGTGGGCGGGGGAAGGAGGAGCCCAATTATGGGCTCATTTTCAGGACTCTTCATCAATTCATGAGGATGGGCGGATGCGAAAAAAGAAAGAAACGGTGGCGGCTCAGCAGGGGAAACCCCTACTTGTATGAACCTTGCGACATTGACCGCTCAAGCGAGTTGTGCTGGAGTATTTCAGGAATCGCTCTGTGCGGAGTGGTGTCGTGATCCAGGACGCAAGCCCCATCTTGGAAGGCTCGATCAGATGGTCAAACCTACAGCCATGACAAGACTCATCTTCAAACATGCAGGGGCGGGGCTTGTGCCAGGCGAGCTGCCAAAGTATCTTCAGGCTGCAAAGATGGCTGC